ATGGTGGATAAACCATAAATCCTCGCAAAAGAACACCCATTCCTACCAAGAATGATACGCGAGGCTATTGAAATTAAAAAACATCAAACAAAGAGAAAATAGAAAGGAGGATTCGAAAGGAAATAAGAAGGAGCAGGTAATCGCCTTACTGGCCATTATCTTTAACGCCTGCTTCGAATTCAGTTACTTTCCCACCTCTTGGAAAGAGGCAACTGTCATTGGCATTCCCAAGCCAGGCAAACCTCTCCACCTCCCCTCCAATCAACGTCCCATCAGCCTCCTCAAGGCCATGGGCAAACTTTTCGAACGAGTCATTCTCGTGCGCTTGAGGCGCCATTTGTTTCCCACAGACGGCGACCCTCTTGTCATCCCACAACAATTCGGGTTTCGAGCCAAACACTCGTGCCCCCAACAAGTTCACCGCATAGTGGAATACATTCTCAGCGGTTTTTACCCTCGCCGTCAAAAAACATTTCATCATCATTCTTTGACATCGCCAAGGCATTCGACAGAGTCTGGCACGAGGGCCTTATCTACAAACTGTACGACTTAGGCCTCCCAGACCGTCTCGTTCGCATTGTAGCCTCCTATCTGAAGGACCGTACCTTTCGTTTTAGACACGAAGGCACGCTATCCTCTACCCGTCAAATAAAAGCCGGTGTCCCTCAAGGATCTGTGCTTGGTCCCCTCCTATACATACTATTCACCAACGACATCCCTATCCCGTCGAATGGTGTCAAACTAGCCCTTTTTGCAGATGACACAGCCCTTTACTCCAAAGTCAACTCACTACCACAGATTCGGAACAAGATCCAAAAGTCTTAGACTTAGGAGCTTGGTTCCAAAAATGGCGTATCGATGTAAACCCGGAGAAAAGCTCCGCCGTTTGCTTCGAATATAAACGACGTCATCTCACCACCACTCCGCCAATCAGGATGTTAGGAACCCCTGTCCCATGGCAAACTAAAGCCAAATACCTAGGCGTCACCCTTGATGCAAGGCTCACTTTCGAGCCCCATATCAAGAAGGTTACTCGCACCGCACGTTTTTACATGGGTAGGCTCAACAGCATGTTGGGCAGACACAGTAAAATGTCCCTCCGCAACAAGCGAACCCTATATAAGGTCTGCATACGACCTGTCATAACCTACGCGGCCCCCATTTTCGCACATGCTAAGCCCAAAGCTATAAATGAACTTCAAATAGTTCAAAATCTATTCTGTCGTAGGGCCACTAACTCGCCCTATTATGTCCGTAATGCCGACCTACATCGAGACTTAGAGCTCCCAACAATCCAGCAGTTCCTTAAATCACTCTCTGAGAGATTTTTCAAAGCCTCAGAGTCCTACCCAAATCATCTCATTCGTGAGACAGCTGCCTATGCAGCCCCTATCCACACTCGCTATAGTGTGCGCAGACCGAGAAACTCTCTCTCGGACCCCCCCCAACAAGCTTTCGGCTGACCTGAACTGCCTCCTGGCGGCTCAGGCCGAGCCTACATAACACATCCCTTAATCTGCCTTAGTAAGGCACTCTTCTAAGCGGCTTTTCGCCGCTTGCGCCCTCCTTTCTGCCAAGGAGGGTCGCGTTCGTATACGGCTTAGAGATCTCTAGTCAGATCGTTAAGCCAATTCCTAAAAGGCGGTGTTTAGTGGGTAAAAGTCTCCACATAACCACGCAGTCGGCTGCGTGGTATGCTATGAGCATTCACCGCCTCCCTCCTCCGCTTTCCGGAGGGTTGCCCATATTTGCTTCGGGCGCAAAAAAAACTGTCATGTGTGGTAAATTTGGCAAAATCCCTTCTATAAAGCAACGTATGAGGGAGGCCTATGTTCAGGAGTGGATTTTTAAGATTGTAATGGATGTAATACCATGTAATACCATGGAACTTTCTGCAAGCATCTGCTTCAGAACAGCATTTGATTCAATAGCCTGATGTTGTAATCTTCTGCAACGAATGAGTCTTGCATGACAGGTGAAACAGACAATTATGAGCCGCTCATCCTCATCCATCTGAAAATATGAAAGTTTGTAATAAATATTGACGAATACTAATATATTAAAGTTTGTAATAACATTCACAATTCATGTCGGATTTAGTAATCTGCTGCACGATTTAAGTGATCATTTTAGCTTTAGTTGACAGGTAATGATGCTATTGATTACCATCTAGCTGCTTTTATGCCGGAAATCTTTAGTTTTCGCGATATCGGTAATTAAAGTCACAAAATTTAATAAAACTCAAAAGTTATATCCATTAATTTAAAAATCATAATTAACAGAACACAACATAGGTCCGTTAGGCACAATCTAAACCTGACCTAACCTGGCAGCAAGCAACAGGTTAGGTCAGGTATGGACTGTGACCACAACACACGAGCCGAGTGAGCGCAGCGAGCGTGCCGTAGCAGAGGCCGGGGAAGTGCCAGAACCGATACTATTAATTGAGGTTAACACAGGTCACAGCAGAAATAACCTCAATTTGGTGACTTTGACCTTTGCTGACCTTCATCCTTGCTGACCTTGACCTTTATGTTACAGACAGAGAGGGTGAGCCCCCAGTTTTTTCGCACCCTGAAAACTCCCACATTTCCACCGGGACCCGAATGAGACTTTTTTGCCCTTTATTTAATAACCGAAAGCGATTTTGCCTTAATATGTAACATGATTAAATTCATTAAAAAGGGGGGGGTTTCTGGCACTTCCTCATTTTAGAGGGAGGTTCCTACCCCTCCCCCCTCTACCCACCCACTGGACGACCATATATTCGTGCGGCAGATTACTAAAGAAATACCCACAATTCTATTCATCAACATCATTTTTTATAATATTGAAATGACAAACTTACAATCCACCTGATGTTAAGTGGCTACAGCAGACCATGAGCACTTGCAACAAACTTGAAGCAAAGGCTACAGATGTGATGTTACCTCCGAGGATTAGGATGTCGATGCTTCAAAGCCTGTTATTATACTGGCTCTCAATGTCCATACTGATTTTAGTGCGACCCAGGATTCCACGCTAATTGTAGTTTTTGTCAGATAGTTCTGATTGTATTTGTCACTATGTAATTCTGCACCTTAGCCTAGCCCCGATCTATCACATTTTATATCAGGCAAGTTACAACAAATTACGGAATCACACTTCAATATGCAAAGAAATATTAACAAACTTACAAAACAGTTCGTTAATGTTTTATATAAATTTCGGAGGCAAGTCTTCTCTAGTATAAACATGCGTACATTAACACATAAACAAATTCTACAAATTTCACTAAAGGCCATTCCTGTTTCTTAAGGCTTTAATTTGAGGATGTATAATCGATATATTACTTTCCTCAAAACCTCAAATACTTTTTGATTTTTCTCTATCTAGTCTGTGCTTTTCAGTATATGTAGACAGAGCCAGTGTTGCCAACATTAAAATCTAGCTGCCGTTGTAGAGAACACTATAATAATAATAATAAGGCGGCGTAGGGAAGTGACGACCCCATCGCCCGCTGACGTAAGGCGGCGTAGGGAAGTGACGACCCCATCGTCCACTGACGTAACAGTTAAGTGACAAAACCATAGAGATATAATATCTATACCTATACTTCTAAGTCAGTGACTGCGTACATATGCGATAAAGCCTGGTGAAACAGCTCAAGCAAAACTTATGGGATAGCAATTCAAATTTAATTTGACAACTCAACAATTTTCATTGCTTCATGTGACTGAAAAATTCGTTTGCTCGCCAGCAAAAACAACGCAATGGATGATATTGTTAAAGTGTCAAATTGGTATGGTTTTCCATTTTAGGTGTATTACGCAATCAGGCTACGGATTTAATTTCTACACAAAAGCCATAAAACTGTCAATCACATTTATTCCTCAGAGAAGTTATTTCACAATTAAAAATTCAGCCTAGTACCTATGTAAATAAAGTAAATTAAGCAACAAATTCGATTATAAATGAAATGAGAACAAATTCATATTAGCTAAAATATCGATATCGGCTGCGCATATTGCTAAGTTACAACCCTATAAAAGACGGCGATTTTATGTGCTAGATTTTTGTAGGTAGTCACGCTAATTCTGTAGGTATGCCCAGTCCATATGTTTTTAAGTCAGTGGACAAAACTGCTACGTCAGTGCAGTCAGTCAGCGCCTTGTCAAGAGGTGCGAGCGCCGTGCCTCGGCAGTACTCAGGGTGCAAAGGCCCGTTTGTGCTTACGGCCGTACATTGATACAATGAAACGGTGCCAGGCCTAGGCGTTTCCCGTTAATTGGCGCCCAAAAATGGATGATGGATTGTAATAGAAAGCGTATAGGGTCAGTACCTGGGGGTCACCGGAGCGCATCTGGAGCTGGCGCTGGACGCGGCAGCATGCCTGACGCCAGCCGAGCCCGAGGAGCTGCAAGATCACCTAGCAGCCCCCCGCATCCATCATCCCCACCAGGTGGCTTGATGTCGGCAGGGTCTTCTCAGACTCGGCAAGCGGCATCCGCCGCTGGTGGAGTGCACCGCATGCGTTGGACAAAAGCTATGAACGAAAACGCATTGCGGGGGTACTATAGGGCAAAAGGGGGAAAAACTGCAGGGATAGCGTATCGGGCTCGGATGCATTGCTTTTTTGCTGAACTGGAGCCGTCCATTCCCGTCACGGAACAAAACCTGGCAGACCGAGTTCGGTACATCATGCGCTCGAAAATATTTGATGATGCCGAGCTCGAACGATTACGACGTGAGGCTATTCCCTCATCGAATGAATTGGCTATGGCTGGGGATGCGGCTCCTCAGCCGACAGACCAGCAACCACGCGTGGAAACCGCCGTGGATTTTCCAGTTGTGGTTGATTCGGACGATTATGAAATGGTCTCCTACGAACTAGAGCAAATGAGGAGTATATTGAAAGAGGCGATTTTGAAAACGCGCAGCATGCCTCTCGAAAATCGACGCGACTTTCCCGCATAGCCCTAAGCAAGCGAAATCGGGCTGTCGTGAGGGCTCTGAACCCAATGCTGGTGACCTATTTGGAAGCCAGCCGGGACCTTTGCGATACGGACTCAATTCTTTTTGGCGCCGCAGTGGCAGCTTATTATAGCCGTATAATTGGCGCCAAACTTCCGATGACTGGACGCGCTACTAAACAAAGTAATGCCATCCCAGCCTGGAGAAAAAGAATTGAGGACCGTATCGTGAAGGCAAGGGCCCTTATCGGCAGACTGACAAGCTTCAGGTCGGGTAATAATAGACCGAGGGCGTTTGCTGGGACAAATATCAGTTTGTCCCAGCCGGATACCACGCAGAAACTAACGGAGCGCATAGACGACCTGAAGCAAAAGATCGCTGCTTGGGGGAAGCGGATTCGACGATTTACCGAGAGGTCAAGGCGGTTCAACCGGAATCGTCTCTTCCAGAGTGATCATAAGAGGCTCTATAAATCATTGGAGCAACCAGAGGTATGTGGAGCGGGCTCAGGACCGGATCAGGCTAACATTATCGCATTATGGCAAGGCCTGTGGTCAGAGCCCGTGAACCACAGCGAGGGCCCTTGGATGGAAGTTGTGGCGAGCCAGAGTGTGAGTGTTACGCTTATGGACCCCGTCACCATAACGCTAGAAGACGTGGCTGAGGCGGTCCGTAAGGCCCCGTACTGGAAAAGTCCGGGGCTCGACGGGCTGCATCATTACTGGCTGAAGGGGTTCGTAGTGTGTCACGCTGTGCTCGCTCGACAGTTTCAAGAGGCTCTCGATCAGAAGTCGCTCCCAAGTCTCTTCACTACTGGGATCACTCACTTGGTTCCTAAAGATCAGGATACCACAGACCCGAGCAAATACCGCCCCATCACGTGTCTACCCACCACATATAAGACACTGACATCTATTTTGAGGGCGAGAATCACTCGTCACTTTGAGCTAAATCAGGTGATGTCACGCGCTCAAAATGGATGTCGGCGCGGTGGTCGTGGAACCAAGGAACCACTCCTCATTGACGCGGTTGTTGGCAAAGTGGTGAAACGCAACCGTCGGAACTTCTCCGCCGCCTGGATAGACTACAGAAAGGCATTCGACTCGGTGCCCATACATGGATAAAGAGAGTCCTCGAGCTGTACAAAATAGACTGTACAGTTAGAGACTTCCTCGAGCAGTGTATAGGCCAGTGGAGTACAATCTTTTGTCATCTGGGCGAGCGGATGATGGCTGCGGAGAACCACATAAGGATAAGAAGGGGTATCTTCCAGGGCGATTGTTTGAGTCCAATCTGGTTCTGCCTCTCTCTGAACCCTCTCAGTACTTTACTGGAGGGATCCGGGAGGGGATTTCAGCTTCGGAAAGGAGGGACAAAAGTGACCTACCTTTTCTATATGGATGACCTCAAGTTATTCGCCTCCAGTCGCTCCCATCTTATTCAATTGCTAAACATCACTTGTGAATTTAGCAATTCTATTGGAATGGAGCTGGGGACAGATAAGTGTGCAGTCCTCCATGTTGAAAGGGGAAGGGTTGCTAACTCTGAGGGCATAGACTTATCTATGCCCGTCAACTTATGGACCCTTTCCGAGGCTGAATCATACCGATACCTGGGTATGTCCCAGAACATCGGTATCGATGAGGCTGGTATAAACAGTATATAACAGTCAGTTTGCGACGTGTTTTATGCACGCTTGACCAAAATGCTTAAAGGCCTTTTGTCCGGTGTGAATAAGACACACGCATATAACGGTTGGGTCATGCCTGTCCTCATGTATACCTTTGGCATACTCAGGTGGACTCAGACTGAACTTAACGCCCTGGATAGAAAAGTCCGCACTACCATGACGTCCCATAGGACGCATCATCCGAGATCGTCGGTAATAAGGCTGTACTTGCCGCGAAAGCATGGTGGGCGTGGCTTTCTGAGCGCGCTCACCATGCATAATCATGAAGTGCAGCCTCCGTCATTACTTCCTGGCGAGATCCATTCTACAATGACGTCATTTCTAGTAATAAAGGGCTTACCCCTCTATCCTTAGCCAACGAGCAATGGCAGGACCCAGCAGTGCTTAGCATTTCCGACCGGGAGGCCGTATGGAAGGAGAAGGAGCTCCACGGGAGGTACTATAGATCTTTACATGAGCCCTTCGTAGATAAAGTTGCCTCTCTCAACTGGCTACGTTTCGGTGACCTCTTCGGGGAAACCGAGGGTTTTGTCTGTGCAATAGAGGATCAGGTTATTAAGACCAACAACTATCGGGGATACATCCTAAAGGACGGCACCGTCGACGTCTGTTGAGCTTGTCGCCATCCCGGGGAGTCACTTAGGCACATGTCATCACCGGTTGTTCGGCGCTTTCTAACTCTGAATACTTGCACAGGCACAACCTAGTAGCCAGAATTCTACACCAGGAGGTCGCTGTGAAATACGGTCTCGTGGACCGGAAATTGCTGTATTAGAAGTACTTGCCGGAAGCCAGGCTCTATTGGGACCGGACCATCATAACAAATAGCACTATTCTTGCGAATAAGCCTGATATTGTGCTGATGGACCGGGCACAGTCAAGGATATTTTTGGTTGACATTACCATTCCGTATGACGAGAACCTCGTGAAAGCCGAAACAGATAAGCGAACAAAATATCTGGACCTGGCTCAGGAGGTGACTGATATGTGGGGTGGTCTGCCGGCCGAAATTATTCCTGTAGTCGTCTCTGCGAATGGGCTAACCCCAGTCAGCCTCTCGGGTCATCTGAGGCGACTGGGACTCCGTGACGGACCGCTCCGGGCTCAAATGCAGAAGGCAGTGCTCCTCAATACCGCCCGCATTGTCCGCCGGTTTCTTTCCCTTTTCTCCTAACCCTCGGCCGTCTGGTCTCCCCTGCCGAGGGCTTCCATCTGGTTGGATCTTTATTTATTTATGTATTTTTGTATTTATTTTATTGTATTGATATTTATGTATATTTACCTTTTCATTTTAATTTATAATTATATATTTATAGAACCCAACCAGATGAGAAAAGTATATATATATATATATATCCCATAATAATAATAAAGCCTCTTTATTCCTTATCCCTACGTTTCTACATTTTACATTTCCATGTTGATTAGTACTTATTGTTAGTATTATTAGCTTATTTCATATTAGTTATTGTTTGTACGGTTAACTGTCTATATTTTCAGAGATATGGATCCCATTTTGAGTAAAGGCCTCTTCCATCTGATTCTACATTTCTCTATTTATACTTTTGCTAATCCAGTCTTTTCCTGCATACTGTATTATGTCATCAGCCCACCATTTATGTGGTCTTCCAACTTTCCTTTTGCCAGATACTGGTCCCTTCCATCGTGTGATTTGTATTGTCCATCTATTATCTGGGTATCGTGATACGTGTCCTGCCCATTTCCACTTTATCCTTAAAGCGTGCGTGAGTGCATCTGTTATTTTTGTTCTTTGTCTTATTATATTGTTCTTGACTTTATGTATTTTATTTATATTTAAGATACTCCTTTCCATTGTTCTCTGTATTGTATATATTTCCTTTCTCACTTTGTTTGTATATGTCAAAGTCTGGCAGACGTATAATAGACTAGGTAAGAGGCAGGTGTCCATTATAGTACTCTTTATTTTGATACTGTAATTTCCTTTTAAAATTTCTTTTAGTTACCAAAACTTTCTCCATGCAATGTTTTTTCTTCTTTCTACTTCGACTTCGTTGTTGGTTTTCATGAAGGATATTTGTTTCCCCAAGTAAATGTAGTTTTTTACATATTCTATATTGTTTCCTTTTACGTTGATGGGTATGTTGTGACTGTTGGTCATTATCTTAGTCTTGTTTATATTCATTTCAAAACCTACTTTTGAACTTTCTTGATCTAGTGAGTGTAGCATATCCTTAAATTGTTTAGCTGTTTCAGAAAATATGACTATGTCATCTGCAAACCTAAGATGATTTAAACGACGGTCATTAATATTAATCCCATATTTTGTCCAATTTAACTTTTTTAAATATATTTTCCAACACAGCGATGAAAATTTTCAGCGACAAAGGATCGCCTTGCCTGACTTCTCTTTCTATTTTTATTTGGTCACCTCTCCTTTCAAGGTTAACCCTGCTTGTACTATTTAAGTATATATATTTTATGATGTTTGTGTATTTATCGTTTACATTTGACGTTTTTAATGCATTCCAGATGAAACCATGGTTGATACTGAAGAAGCGTAAACGGGATTTATCGACATCACCTGCAAATACACAACAGCCTCGAAAACAGTACGCACCATCAAAGATGAATAGGGCAAATGCTTTCGACATAATGAGAGGAAGAAGTAGTTCCCTTTCCTGTCCTTCTATACCTAACGAACAGACACAATGAGAACACTATAATCCCGTCAAATCCCGTCAAGTACGGTAGACAAGTGTTAATCATTCATTTCTAGTGACCGAAGCATTCTAGTACATTTCGTCACGCATACTGGCACATTCGGATCGATCATTCAAATGGATCTATTACTCTTTTGAGTCTGTGAGATCCATTGGCTACCAAAAATTTTCTATGTGAGATTTGTAATAGCGCCATCTACTACATGCTATAGGTAATAAAGTAATTTTATCGAACTAAAAGTTATTTACTTTCAAGGATATCACAGGTTCACAGGATATGCAACTCATACAGTAAAGGGAGAGAATGAAATAAATAGAGTAGTCGATAGTTTTCTATATATTTAACAGTAGCGCATCATTTTGGCCAACCAATGACACAACAGTTTCCGAGCTGTATTAAAAGAATTACGTCAAATGAAAATTTATTCTCTCAAATTTTTAAAGAAAAGAATGTATTGCACATTTTTTCGTATTTTTAAACTAAAAAAATGAAAACAAAAACATCAATATTTGTTGTCCCGTTAAAAAATCCGTCACCCGTTAAACACAATTTTTTCCCGTTGCCAACGTCGCTGTTCAATCAAATCTAACGGGAATCCCGTTAAGTTGGCAACACTGGACAGAGCCCTCTACGATTTAAAAGTACTTTGCACAGAGTACCTTTCACAGATAAATAAATATGTAGAAAGCTAGTACCTTTGTATAAACTGAAAGTACTCTGTGTAGTTTATAACACCCATAGATTACTGAATATATACTAGAGATAAAAATTATTATAATAAAATTATTACTGACCTCTATATCTACAAGTACGCTGGACTGGCTATACCATACAAAATGACTGTGCCAGTTTGAAGCGCCGCTAAAGGATGTTATGAAAAATAAAATTGACATAATATGCCAAAGTCTGTTGTCTTATTTATATTGTCTTATTTCATAAGCCTGTATTTTGAACTTTTAACTAAAAAACTAAAGTATTTTGTTGTTTGATTGTGTATAATATTGGTTACATATTGTTTTTATTAATAATGAGAGTGTGCGTAATCTGTAAAACTCGTTACCAAAAGGGAAGTGGTATAACATTTCACAAGTAAGTTAATTTGCAGAAAATATTAAATAAATTAAAACTATTTGATAATATCAGTACTTAAAAATTTGTTATTAATCTTAAATATCATATATACCAACATGTTTGGGTGTATATTACTGAGTTTTGATAAACAATAAAATTCAATAGGGTTGTCGAGTTCCTTGCCTATAATAATTATCGATGTTCTTTCCTACATATATGTGTTTACAAAATAATAACGTATATGTGTTAACAAAAAAAGTCGCCAACAACGGATGATTTTCAAATGTTTATTAATTAACAGATTTCCAACTGAACGTAGACTAAAATTATGGCTTAAAAGCATAAATATTGTGAATTGGCGTCCGAAACAAAATGATCATATTTGTTCCAAACATTTTACAGACGACTGTTGTATTAGACATGAGAACTGCACCACTTTGAAAAAGTGCAGTATACCGACAATATTTTCTGGTGCCAATAACCAGTAAGTATAAAAGTATTAGATTATTATTTCGAATGTTTTTTTTTATTTCTTCTTTCCTAATTTTCCACCAAATTCAAGGGCCATAGCCAAGTGTCGAAAGGTCGCCGAATCGCTGGAAGAATCGCTGGAGGACCTACGCACTATGTTCATTGACCTCAATCGTGTCTCCCAACGGATAGGTCTTAAGATGAACATGGACAAAACAAAAGTCATGTGTAATGTCCATGTCACACCTATGCCGGTAGTTTTTGGGAGCACTTAGCTGAAGTTGTTGACGAGTATTTTTACTTGGGACAAATAGTCCGACTAGGTAAGTTCAACTTCGACCGACAGGTCAATCGACGTATTCAACTCGACTGGGCAGTGTTCGGAAGATCACAAGACATCTTCTCGTCAGGAATACCTCAAAACTAGATACTACAACCAGTGCGTCTTGCCAGTGATGACCTATGGATCTGAGACGAGGTCTTTTACTGCTAGCTCTATGAGGAAGCTCGAAGTCGCTCAGCGAGCTATGAAGGGGGCTATGCTCAGGGGTTCAAACTTAGGAATGAGGATATCTGCAGCAGAACCAGAGTGACCGACATCGCCCAATGGATTAGTAAGCCGAAGTGGAAATTGACCGGCCATATAGCTCGAAGAACCGAATACCGATGGGGAAAAAAGGTTCTCGAGTGGCAGCCTCGTACCGGCAGGTCAAGTGTAGGACGTTCCTCCACTAGATGGAGTCAAAAACTCGTAAGATATGCAAGAAATTATGGATGCAGGTAGCTCAAGACCGTGCTTTGTGGCATTCCTTGGGGGAGGCCTATGTTCAGCAGTGGACTTGTGAAGGGTTTTAATAATGATTAATGATAATGGCATTATATTAATATGATACATAAATAGAATGGAAGTTACGGGTAGAGTCCATCTATCCATAGAGTCTATTCTATTTATTTAGGTATAGGTAGGGTATAGAATTTATATCGATAGGTATAATTTGGTACACTGTGTTATCCCTATTATTAGTTCCGTGGACGTGCACTTCTGCTGTCAGCGCCAAAATGGCGGAAACGAAATCGCTTCAGCATGTCATGGTGTATAGCCAGTCCAGCGTACTTGTATATATAGAGGTCAGTGAAAATTATGGAGTGTAGAAGTAAGGAGTACAGACTGTGTATTAAAAAGTGTCCATAGAAAATCGTTAAATAAGGGTGATGCCACTATAGCTACGGGCTAAATTTTAAAGAACGTGCCGAAAAATATTAATAGGATAGACGACTTTTTCGAGGTTATATTTACTAAATAAAATTATTTTAGATTTTTGAACTACTGAGCAGTTTAGCAGCACACTTCAAACCGTCGACAACTGCTAAGTTTGCATTTCATCTCAGTAGCTACTCCAGCTCTATTGTGGATAGTTTTTGAAATGTTATTTACTGCTTATAGATGGCCACTTTTTCAACTATTCTAGTATGGGAGTTCGTACTCCTTACTTCTAAGATGAACCATAGACACAGACGTATATAATACGTCTATGAGATGAACGGACAATAGAAACCACTGACTTGGAAGTATATCGACTGGGCATACCTATAATTATATACATGATTAGCGTGACTACCTACACAAATCTGGCGCATAAAATGGCCGTCTTATATAAGGTTGTAACTCAGCAATATGCGCAGCTGATATCGATATTTATTTTATGATTAACTACCTTGAATATTTCTCGTTTTATATAATCGGATTTGTTGCTTAACATACTTTATTCCGTAGGTATTTACACAGATACGGGGCTGAATTTTCAATCGTCAAATAACTTATCTGAGGAATAAATGTGACTGACAGATTTATGGCATTTGTGTAGATTGAAATTAAGTCCTTGTTTTGTGTTTGATGAATTACTGGGATAAAGATCCCTGATCCCATATTATAGTATTTTTAATATAAAATAATATTGATTAGTTGAGTAAAATGAAATAAACTATTTTAAAAATCAATAATTATTTATTATTAATAGTTCTGCACATAATTTATCACAAATAGTAAGTTATACAAAGAAGTTGTATGTCATTTTATTTACTCGATTTTAAATGCAAAATATTATTATTTTTCGCAAAATTTGAAAATCTGGCATGATCATGAACAGTTTTGCCAACTTGAAGGGTTTCCCGGTAGATTTGACCGGACAGAGAGGTTGGCAACGGGAAAAAATTGTGTTTAACGGCTAACGGATTTTTTTTAACGGGACAACAAAAATTTATGTTTTTTTTAGATTTGATTTCGAAATAAAAATAATTTGGAAATGACAAAAATTAAATTGTAATTTTATTCTTTTTTAGTTTAAAAATACGAAAAAATATGCAATACAATGAATGATTGACACTTGTCTACCGTACTTGACGGGATTATAGTGTTCTCTACAACGGGAGCTAGATTTTAATGTTGGTAACACTGATCGTCACGCACAACGCTGCGGTATGCGGCATGCGGTACCGGACACATAATCTTATGAAAAACGTCGAGAATGGTCTCTTGTTCCGTCACAGTATGCGTTAGTGGCGAAGGCAAACGCGGTGAAGTGGGGAGCACGTACTCCAAACTGCGCGGCGTCGTTCTCGTAGCAATGCTGCGGTGTGTGTCTCGGGTTGACAATGGATTTGCTTGAAGATAATTTGATAGAATTAAGGCTTCTTTGTCTTTTTAAAGGGAGTAGAAATTCTTCTTCCTCCTCCTCAAGTAAAGCACAAATTTCAAAAATATTGTTCATGTTGACACGTTTGCTTTGGTAGTTGCGGCAAAATCAATTGACTACTTCTCCGCATAGATGCTAAAAGCTGCGTCGTGACGCTGCGTTTGAGATGCATAACGCACAACACCGCAGTGTTGTGCGTTACGACCAAGAGACCAAAGCTTTAAGCGCCGAATTTTGTGATGGATCTGCTGTCAAACTATTGCATGCTAAAAGTTTTTTTGTTGTGTAGTGCAGTGCCCTCATCTTCTCTTATAGTAGGTCTTTTCCTTCTGTGTATATTTTATTATTGTTACGAGCTTAGGGTTCGTGACAATAAAAATTGCCGACTGAATTCCCAAAATATCACTTTATTTACTGAACACTAATTAAACTTTAATCACACTAATAATTATTCACACTTTCACTTTATTTCACTCCCCGACGCTGCCCCCTCCTAAGACATGCTCATCCGGAGCATTATCGGCCCCATAATAACGCGCTAGTCGATCCACATAAACGATCTTAGGAGTACCTCTTGCACCTTTTTGAAACGGCTTCGCAACGTCAAGGGCTGTCCTCTCCCATGGTGCACCAACATTGAACAATTTCAATGCTCCTCTACTACGAGTATGAGGTTCCTTCACAGCCGCACAACTTATACATTTGCGACACCAACCCTGGACATCGTCACGGTAATAGACCCAGTAAAACCGTTCT